ATAAGATACACCATAAATGTGGCACGAAAACAATGTGTTTAACTGTTTTAAATGGTTGTCACATTGGAATGTACTCTTAAAAAGTTCTTTTTTTTTACATTGTTGTCATTTTTTTCTTTTTTTTATTTTTGGTCATATTTCTACTCGGTTAGAAAACTTCTAATCCGCTAGCTGAAGAAGGCAGCTGAAAACAGGAAAGTTTTATGCTAGTATGGTGATGGTGGTACTTCATCAGTACAAATCAAAAAATGCAGACGTCAAAAAGCGGCAAGCAAATGAGGAGGGGAAATGGGAGAGCAAGCAGGAGGGGAAAAACTAATTTGTAAACAACAGTAGAATCAGCGACGTCATACCAATATAATCGGAGCATTGTTGAATCTTTGCTGATTAATAGACGTTTTTTGTTTCAAACAGACAAACTCTTTGCATAACTATATACATATATACATATATTTTTCTTGTAAAAATAGAAGAAATTGATAAAGAAGAAAAAAAAATTAACAAGTTTACGTAAAGTAATATTCGGTGTAAATTTTTAATGCTATGTTTTTCTGTCTCTATTACTACTAAGACTATATAATTTACATATGCTGCAAATCTGTGAGGTTTTTTTATGCTTATATTTGCTGGAACAAGAAACAAAAAAAATTTTCTCTTTTGTTTCTTCTTTCTCCTCTGCTCCAAAACAGCTAATTTTTACTTGGTTTTCTTAGCTAGTTTTTCAGTTTTTTTCAGACTATCTTAAGAACTAACAAACAAATTCGAAAGTTTAAAGCACCGACACTAAACAGGTTTTGCATATGTTCTTTGTGATTTTCATTAACCTTAGCCCTATTTGCATCTTGCTTATGGTCTATCAAACAATCAGACAGATTGCAGCTGCAGCATTGATACCACTGCTACGGTTGCTGTCGCTACTGAATTAGATACCTTTTGACAATGCTTATAAAAATTGAAAAAAGTGGAAAAGACGTAATTACAGTTTTAATTTAACGTAAATCAAATTATGACAGATGTTTTTTGTTACAATTTTCCACCCAAAACTTTAGCAGTTTTTTACCGTCTTTTCCTCTTTTTCTCTCCCCTGTTCTCTCTCAAAGCTCCTCTGTTTCTCTGTACCTCTGAAATTATCTCTGGAAAAAAAAGTGCAGTATGAAAAAAGACGGCAACAAATTTCAATTATTCGGTAGCTTAACAACAATTTTTGCTTTCTTTTCTTTGCCGTTACAAAAAAAAAAAAGTTTATCACAACAAAAATTACACTTTCTATTGCACCAATGTTGACTTTTTTGTCTTTTTGCAAGAAAAAAAAAGGTACAAAAAAAGACGCTATCGCGAACTAAAGCAAAAAAAAAAGCTAAAAATTACGCAATATTGTGGAACAGAAGGTAACAATCCTGCACTAAATAGCAGTTTAAAAAAGAATTTGTAGTTTAAAACTATTCTTATAGATGATGGCAAATTCACAAGCAGATTATTTCTTAGAAAATCAGTCAAATTTATGCAAATAAAATTTGGCGAAAAAAAGAAGAAAAAATTCTGAAATTTTTTGATTTGATGAAACTGATGGGGCGGAAGACGGAAGGAAACGAGAACGATGAGCGAGAAGAGCGAAGATTGCGAGGAGGTGGAGGAAAAGAGGGGAGAAGCGGAAGGGATGATAAAGGAGGAGAAGAGGGAAGACGAGAGATGGGGGGG